GTGAGAGCGAGAGAGAGAGAGAGAGAGAGAGAGAGAGAGAGAGAGAGAGAGAGAGAGAGAGAGAGAGAGAGAGAGATTTTAGCAATACCAAACAACTCTAACACTCACACGTCATTTACGTGCATCACTTTTGTGACAGGTCTCAGACTTTGAGCGGCCATATCTCGGTAACTATTGATGGTCCACCTGAAAACTCTTCGGATTTGGAACGGGTGCCCAGCGCCCGTTCGAAGGGCGATGAGCTCTCCGGTGGACCATCAATAGTTACCGAGATATGGCGCTCAAAAGAGACCTGTCACAATAGTGAGATGCACGTATTGCTATTGGGAGCGCGGGGACTGTTACGGAGATTCCGTTTTTTGCGTTTAGGCACTAAGAGAGGCAGTCGGAGAGTCGCAGTCGCTAGTCCGGACGGAAAACGGAATCGGAAACGAATATAACACATTTGCATGTGGACGCCCCGCACGCACGAGACGACGACGACATGGGGAAGAGATACACGTGCTGACTTGGAAGAGGTCGCGAGATGTGCATGAAAGGTGCGCGGCCGCTTTCCACCCGTTTGTGCTGATGGCGTTTGCCGCGTGGAGAGCAAACGTGGGCGATTGGAGAATACAAGCCTCTCGCCGAGCAAGCTGACCGCCCGCCGGCCGCACCCGGGCCCCGTTAGCCCACATGCTGCCCGGACGGCTCCCTGGACGGCGGGGGCGGGGCGGCGCCGCCGTCTGCGTTGAGCTTGAACATCGGGTTGCGCCGCACCTAGCGAGAGAAACGAACCCGCGTCACAGACGAAGACGCGCGGGCGCAGTCTTGAGGCTGCGCCGCACCTTGTCAGCGTTGAGGGAGCGGCCGTCGATGAGGGGCTCGACCCCGGCCTCGCGCAGCTGCGTGGCGAGCGACTCGAACCACAGCGCGGAGGGTAGATCGCTGTACTGCGGCAGCTGCATGTGCACCTTGGGAAGGAGGGCGAGAGGCGCGTCAGCCGAGATGCGCAACCCCGCGGTGCCGATGTCCCCTCGCGGTGCGGATGTCCCAGAGTGGGGCACCTTGAAGGCGTCGAGCGAGCCTCGCTTCCTGTGCAGGTGGTGCAGCAGCTTCCAGGCAAGCGTGTCGTCGAACTCGCCATCCTGTCGGGCGCGGGAGGGCGC